GGGGGGGGGGGGGGTTGATTTCCTCGGCAGTGGGAGCACAGCCCCTGGCGTCTCAAGTACTGAATGGGGTCTTGCCTTCTTCTACAATGGAGGCATGTCCTCTTGCTGGGGTCTCTGCAAGCAGCAGGATGCTCCTGTCCTCATCCCCTGCCTTCCTCTGGGGCAGGTCGGGGGCTCCCAGTGTCTGGGCAAGGGGCTGGAGGAGGTGCACGGGCCTGGAGTGAGGTGTTAGGAGCAAGTCAGAGCAGGATGCATATGGGACAGCTCCCATGGGGCTGCTCCTGCCTCGAGCAGGGGGCTGGGCTGGAGGTGACCCCCTGTTTGTGGCTCCAGACAGTCCTTAATGATGCCGCTTGCAGGGTCTGTGCTGGGCATGGGCTCCCTGCAAGGCCGGGGGTGACTCAGGTGCTGCACAGGTGCAACAGCCCCTCCCTTGTGCTGGGCACAGGGGTGGCATTGCCTGTTGCACCCACAGATAGGACAGTATCAGGGTGACCCCCATCTGGCCCAGGGCATTGGGGGGTACTGGGAGCTGTGGGACATCCCCCCTGCCCCTTCCTTGCAGAACTGCCTGGTGAAGTGCGAGGACAATGGCTACACGGCTGTGGTGGGAGACTTTGGCCTGGCCGAGAAGATCCCCATCTACAGGTGAGCAGGACCCCTCCCCAGGCCACAGATGCAGAGGAGAAAGGATCACTGGGGTTGGGAGGGGGTTTGGGATATTTCTGGGGGCAGGGAGAAAAGCATGGGGTGGAAATGTGGGGGCAAGGGTGGGTGGCCCTGGGGGGCATTGGGCATCGTGGAGATCCACCTTGCCCTGTGCCCCAGTTGGAGGCTGTAATGGGGGGGCTCGGGTTGGAGGCTGCAGGGATTTGGGGGTCTCTGGATAGCCCAGGCCAGGGCTGGGTGTGTGCCTGATCGGCTTGCTGTGCCGCAGTGAGGGCAGCGAGAAGGAGCCGCTGGCTGTGGTGGGCTCGCCGTACTGGATGGCGCCGGAGGTGCTGCATGGGGAACTGTACAACGAGAAGGTGCCTGGCGCGGGGCGTGTGGACGGCGATGTGTGCATGGGAAGGGGGTGGCGCAGGTGGGGATGGAGGAGGGGGAAACAGGACCTGGGGTGGGGGGCCCTGGGCCTGGTGGCTGGGGGTGTCGGTGCCCAGCCCACCCCCCATGCCCGCTCCTGCCCCCAGCCCCACAGCCCCCCAGCTTCCGGGCCCCCCCACCCAGTTCCTGTCCCCCTGCAGAGCTGCAGGGGCCAGGGCTGGGCTTTCCCACGTGCCCCCCTCACCTCCAATGTCCCTGCAGGCTGACGTCTTCGCCTACGGCATCATCCTGTGTGAGATCATTGCCCGGGTGCCGGCTGACCCCGACTACCTGCCCCGCACCGAGGTAGGGCTCTGGCCACCAAAGCCCCCCCACCGCCCCCAGCCAGTGGGACCCGGGCCCTGCTCTGCCAGGGGTGGCACAAAGCTGGTCACTCACCCTGCAAGCCCAGCCCCATGGCATCCATCGCTGCAGTGTTGCAGGCTCCCCAGGGCTCAGTGCATGAGACAGACGTGTGTCCCCGGCCTGGTGCAGCCGGCGGGCTCCGTGCCAGCACCTGGGTCTTGCATCACTGCACCCAGTGCAAGAGCTGACCCTGGGGGCAAAGGTAGCAGCGAGCACCTGTGTTACCTGCAGCCCCTCTGATGTGGCTCCAGGGTCATCTGACCCCAGCCCTCTTTCCTGCCTAGGCCGGGGGTCAGACTCGATGATCTGTTGAGGTCACTTCCAACCCGAGCATCTATGAATTTAGGAATCTATGATGCTGCCCTGCTGCCCAGCAGAGTGGGGGAGGGAAAACCACCCACCCGGGGTGCCCGCGGACCCGATCCTGCCGGCTGGGCACTGGGGACAGTTCTCCCAGTTGGACTGGACCCCAGAACCTGCCCTGGGCCTGGGCTCTGGGTCCTGGGCCTGCGGGCTGTGAGCAGCTTGGGGTGGGGGGGTTGCTGTCTGTTTGGAAGGGGCATCCTGCAGCGGGATGGGTGTCTAGCATGGCCCCCCACCAGCAGCCAGGGCTGTGGGTGCTGTTGCCCTATGGTGTGGCCCTTGGCGTGGCCACAGACAGGTGTCCCCTGTGCCCATAATACTGGATTCTGCCCAGGGCCCAGACCCTCGTGTGAGGGAAGGAGCATGGGGGGTAGAGGGCCTGTGCTTGGGGTCGAGCCCCTGTTACTGCCCCTGGATGGTGCCAGATCCATCCCAGGCCGCCCGCTGGGTCTGCTCTGGTCAGTGGCAGCTGGGGATCCAGTGCTAGTGCCAGTGATGGGCGCTTGGTGCCACCTAGTGGTACACTGCTTACACTGCATCCGTGGCCCAGCTCCCCTGTGGGAGTGCCGTACGGATGCCGCCAGAGTCTGCTCCTCACTAGGATTTTGGCCTGGACATTGCCGCCTTCCGCAACCTGGTGAGGGACGACTGCCCGGCGCCCTTCCTCCAGCTGGCCTTCCACTGCTGCCGTGTGAGTGCCCGGCCTGTGCCCACCTGCCCTGCCCTGGTGCTCACCTGCAGGGCTGCAGCACGGCCCCTGCCAGGCTGAGCCGCTGTCCCAGCACCAGCATCACGTCCTAGTTCCCGGTCCCTGTAACCCCCCAGGTGGAGCAGGGCCAGGGGGGTCCCTGAGCTCTCTGGCCCCTTGCTGCCCACATCCCCCCTTGCACACCCTTGGGGGGATTCATGTCCATTCTCCCCTTCCCTGAGTCTAGAGCTAGTACAATAGGACACAAAACTAGCAGGTGGTAAGCTTAAAATGAACCAAAGGCAGTTCTGTTTCCCCCAGCATGTCTTTAAAGGGTTGAACTAATGGCCACCGGGTTGGGAGGGGGAGCTGAGAGTGCAGCCTGGTTCAGCAAGGGACAGGACACATGCTTGGAGGAAAGGGGCATCAGGAGCTATTGAGAAGGGGAGTGAGGGGCATGGCCGGTGCATCAGACCTGCCTGGACCTTCAATGCTGGAGGCTGCAAAGGAGAGAGGAATGGGGAAAAACCCTGGTCACACCCAGTCATTCTCCCTTCCAGCCTTCGTTCTCTGCCCCCATGGGACACAGAAGGTGGGCACGATGGAGCCAGGGTTTGAGCCAGCACAGGGCAGCTCTTGTATTACGCTGAGTGGAAAGGGTGCAGCCCCTGGGCTGGGGTTAGCAGTTTCCCTGGGGGTGTGGGGAGGCTGGTGTGGGGTTAGCTTCTCGTGGCTGTGGCTGACCCAGTGACTCTCCTCACCAGATGGAGCCAACATCCCGGCCCTCCTTCCTGGAGATCACACAGCGCCTAGAAGGCATCCTGGAGCAGCAGCTAGGAGCGGAGGGCACAGTGCCCAGCGTCCAGGCTGATGGGGAGGCCATGCCTACGCCTAAGACACCAGCAGCTCTAAACGGTACTGTGGATGCACCTTTCCTTTGGGCTGCCTACTTCCCTGCCCTGGGGTCCCCATCCGTGCAGCCCCCTCCTCTCAGACCCCCCCAGCCCTGCATGGAGACGTCAAAAGAGCAAACAGCACCTTACAGATGATGAAGAAGGGGGTTGTGAACACAGTGGGAAGTGTTGTGACTTCCCTTTATAAATCCACAGGGCATCCATGCCTTGAAGGGTGTGCCCAGTTCTGATCCCTGCACCTCCAGAAAGAGCTAAAAGAGCTAGAGAAGGTGCAGAGCAGGGCAGCAAGGGTGCCGAGTACTATGGAGGGACTCCCATGTGAGGAGAGACTCATGAGACCAGGCCTGGTCAGAGAAGAGAGACACTGGAGTGGGGCAGGAGGTTTTACAATGCATGAAATGGGGAAGAGAAAGTCAAGAGGGGTTTGCTACTGACTGTCTCTCTCCCCAGACAAGAACCAGGCATCATAACACAAAACGAGCAGACCAGAAGTTTAAAACTAACAAAAAGGAGTTTTATTTCCCCTGGCATGTCATTGAAGTATGGGATTTATAGCCACCAGCGGTGGTGGGAGATGAGAATTTATCCAGGTTCATCAAGGGACTGGGCATGTCCTTGGAGGAAGGGGTATCAGTTACTATTGAGCCAGGAGTGAGGGCCACAACCTCTACATCAGAACTGCCTGGACCTTCAATGCTGGAGGCTGCAGGGGAGAGAGGAACAGGAGAAGACCCTGCTCAGACCCAGTCACTCTTCCTTCCAGCCTCTTCTGTGGGGCACAGGCAACGGGGAAGATGGACCTAGGGTCTGACCCAGCCCATTGCAGTTCTTATGGCCCCAAGTTTTTAGGTCAGTTATTGGTGACCCCCAGGGAGCACCTGTGTTGCCCCATGTGACTAGACTGTGCATGCCCCTGCAGCAGGAAAGGGGTTATGGACCATACTGCATGCAGGGCAAGGGGCTCATGGGCCCTGTGGCAGGCCAGTAGGAGGTGCTTCTGTGCTGAGCTGCCCACCTCACTGCACCTGGCCAAAAAAACAGGCTTCAGATGCCTCCCCAGGGTCGCCAACTTATTGCCAACCCCCTTTCTGGAGCACCCTCACAAGGCTGGGGTCCCACTGCCACCACTGGGACTCAAGTCTTTGTCTGGGCCCTGTGCTGCCCATGATACACAGACCCTGTAGCCCTTGGGTTTTCAGGGTGCTTCTATTAGCCTGAAGCATTCACCAGCAGCCTCCCTTGCGGGAGGAAAGTAAATAGCTGAGTCTACCTTAGCAGGTCTCTTCCCTCTTAAGCACACACAGCGAGGCGTGCTAAAACAGATAGATTTATTGATCAAAGAGGGATAGGGTGAGGAAGGAATACCAACAGCAAAATATAGAAAGAAAACCAACCTTGAGCAAAGCTAGGTGGCTTTGATATGCGACTAGAGAACATTAAACCGAGCTTCTAGTTACGTTTTTGGTAAGTCACTCGCTTCTGCATCCTGAGCACGAAAAGAGCTGCGGAGGTCCATGCTTCGGTGTGTGTTCTAAAATGTCCAACCTCCTTCTTCCTACAGTGACCCTCTTTTATAGCCCTACTGACATCACCACCTGTACCCAGTCAGGGACAGGTGTCATTTGATGATGGCCAATCAATTTGAAAAGCATCACAGTTACCTAGAGGAGTGACATGGGCTTAAGCCCCTGACCTATATCATGAGGTCAGAGGTCCAAACAATAGAGAGGTTAAATCCACACTCTCTTACCTGAAGCCGGTCACCTACGCAGTAACCCCGGGGCACCCAGGTTGACAGGGACAAAGAAAGAGGAAAAGGAGAAAAAAACCCCAAAAAACCCTAAGGGAGGAGGCTTGGATGGACTTCCTTCACAGCCCCCACCATAGATGAGGGTCTGGATGAGGGCCCTGTTTGCAGGGGGATGTCTCTGTAGCACCTG